TTTTTTTCTTACATAAACAACATTAACTTCAATTTGATTAAAGAAATAATAAAAAATTACAAAAAACATACACGCAAATAACAGATATCCATCATAAACATGTTTTTTTTTTTAAAAAAAAAAAAAAGAGTTGAAATTGGATTGCAACACTCCTATCTAATTATTATTACCACTTACACCCTTTGAAGACAACCTAGGAGCATATTCCCCATATCATTTAGCAAACATCATATCTTAAATAATTTTGTCACACAGATTCTTTAAGCTACCAGGGTAAAGTCAAAACTCATCCTTGGATCAGCTTGATGGCCTCTGTAAGCTAATGTCGTGCCTCCCTCCATTAACAAATAATTTGACCTCTTCCCTCTGTGAAACTTGAAATTTAATATTGCTGTTCTTTCGTACACGGCAGGAATTTATTTTGGCAGCCCCTCAGCCATGCTGATTTCTAATTATTTGGACCACACACACACCCCCATTAATTCCTGACCAGGGTGTTTAATTTAATTTAATGTTTTGTGCGGTAGGAATCTGCCAAGGAAGTGAATTTATTTTTTAAGAAATAAATTGAAATTATATTTTTTTTATTTTTTAAAATTTATTTTCAATATATTATCATATCAAAACTATTGAAACATAAAAAGCTAGAAGTATTGTTTGTCTGTCTGACTCTAGATTTACATACATTCACTCATTTCATCTCTCTCACTTGTTCCCTTCCACTTCTCTCCTCTGCCATCTCTCTCACTTGTTCCCTTCCACTTCTTCTCTCCTCTGTTCTCCCTGGTTAACTACCACCATTCACTCCTTGATTTTAGTCCTCTAATAATAAGAAAACAACCTTGCTAATTTCTTAATTTTCCCAGCTGAAGTTTTATCTTCTTGCAAGTAATTCCTTAAGGTAGGTAGGTACTCGTTAGCTTCTCTTGCCCTTTTCATCTCTGTGTTTGTTTAAAAGCGGTTAAAATCATTGATTACTTGAATAGCAGGTAATTCTAAATAGCTAGAGCTAGCCATGGTGATGATGGGACTTGAGAGGTTGATGATGTTCTTCAAATCCAGAGTGAGGTTCTTGAAGATGAAGAAACCTTATGATAAGATTGAGAAGAGTGAGAGCATGAGAGTTGAAATAAGAAGCAGGAAGGCCAGGAAGCTCGTTGAAGAGACATTGAAGATCGCTGATTCTCCAAGGACCAAGACGTATACTTTCTGATCAGTACTGTCCTTGAGTATATATTGAACATAATATTTACATGTCCTTTCTCTTTTAATTATTAATCTCGTCTTGTCTTCTGTTCCTCCATGGCTAAGCTCTGTCATGGATGATACAATAGCACAGCTCCACCCCCCCCGATCCTTCTAATCTTGAGCATAATTGCAATTTACAACATTTTTACCATAACAAATAACTTAATCAATTAAAATAGCTGACGTTTATTGTGGCATAACTCTTTGTTGAATGCACGGGATCAGTAGAATTTACTTTTCACATGATCATTTTAGATGTCAATCCAAGTAGAGGACATATAGCAGTCATAACATGTATAACCCACCCGTTTAAAATTAATATTTGTTAGAATGGCTGCATGAAAATGAATACAAATATACCCTGATATTGAAATTATACTAAGCACATACATGCAAATATACCCTGATATTGAAATTATACTAGGCACATACATGAATGTTCCAAGAACATATCGTGTATGCAAGCAGTAATCCATGGATTTGCTATCTCAAGAGCTCCTGGTATATGTAACTCAGGGCCTTGGAAATTATCAACTACATATGGTGTGGATTCCTCCTTGGACGTGGATCACAAACCTTTGGGAAGTGATCATGGGTGGTCTAGTTTGAGTTTCATATGTATCACATGACTTGGACTTTAAAGACTTGTTTTTCTCAGTCATGAAGAACTTTCGGAAGCCATTAATAACTAAAAGAATATGCTTCACGTGTTTCCTCATTAAAGCGATTCACTTAATTTGGTCAAATTACTTGAAAAAAGAAAAACCCTCCTCTTCTTTTTCAGTTTTATGGCTAAAGATTGTATCTTGGAGCAAGTTAATATGCTTCCTGTGTTTTCCCTAAAATTTATCAGCCTCTGATATAAACAGCTACATACAGATCTGATCATCATTGCATACGATCCTTCTCTGACAACTGGGGCCCACCCAAATACTTCATGCTCATGTGAGGATCATCGTTCTCTGCTTGAATCAAAAGTTAATTCTGTCCACGTAGTAAAGCTATAGAGATGATAAAGCTCTACCTAAAGATTATGTGCTGATGATATCTTTCAATGTGAGGTTAGTCCAAGGAGTGATGAACAATGGGATATAAAGCAGTAGTGAAGAGCTAAAGCAGCAAAAAAGAGAACATGTATATGACTTGCCCTTTTCAATATGAATGACAAGGAAAAAAGGCAAAAAAAAAGATGGTCATGCGATTAAGGATCATATTATTCATTATTTATCTTCAAAAAGTTAGTTGATTTTCACTTTCCACTAATTTAGAAAGAAAATTTTATATTTATGTATGTTTTGTTTATCTTAGTCAATGCAATATTTTTAATTAGAATAATTATTTATGTTAAAAAAATATTTTATGATTGTTAAGTAAGTTAATAAAAAAATATCAAAATAATATATCTATAATTTATGTAATCAAAAGCTAAAACAAATCATAAATGTTATAAATTATGTTCAAAATCTATTAAAATATTTTAATTCATTTTAATCAAGTTTTCATAATTATTTTATTATTAACATTAGTATTTTCAGCTGAGATATATAATAATTAAAAAATAAAATTATTGAAATTCAAAAAAAAATTATAATAATATAGAAGAATCATGTCAAAACTGAAGAGGAAGTGAATCTAGTAAACTTTTTTCAGAAGATTAAAAAATCAAAGGCACAATGCCTCATCCATTTGTAATAGATTAGACCCATATGCTTAGCTCTCATTTTATTTTTTTTATTAAGGAAATGGATGACAGGTTATTCACTCTTTATTTGTTGGAATAAAAGATCATTGATTATGAATATATTAAAAAATAATTTGTAAAACAAATTAACCGGTTAGAATCTTTATGAATTATATAATTAAAGATGACAACTATTTATAAATACATTGTGAATAATCTAATCTATGTCCTATGATCTCTAAGGGTGAACTATTTGTAAATTGTGTTGCTGCAGAAGAAAAAAAAACATTCTTTAGAATTCAACAAAACAATAAACACTCATCATCAATTTAAAATTATAAGAAAAAATTAATGGATAATATTTTATTTTTTTGGCTATTAGTAGTATAGATCCTACAATAACAATATTACTCTTACTCTTGAGGACTCAACATTCTTTTGTAAATATACAAAAGACTCATACAAGTTAGATAATGATGCAAAATAATATAATTTAAAGAAAAGAAAAGGGAGGAAAAGAAAGGAAGAAGAGGAAGAAAACATTACGAAAAAGATGAAAAGAGCAAGAGAAGATAAAAGAAAGGGAAGAGAAAAAAAAACTTAAATTTTTATTAATTCATCAAAATCTCCATAATATAAAAATTACATATAAGTACCAGAAACCTCATCACAACCAACAATAAGGTTTATAGTCTACTAAATAAAATATACAACAAAATAATATAAATTAAGGTCAATAATAAACCTAAATAAAATTTATTAGCTTGGATAAATATGTTTAATTGTCTAACAAATAGCGATAAATTAGACAATATTTTATTGATATTCAACCATATATGTATGTGAACTGTGTCATAAGTCTGGTATTTACACCAACTTTTTTTGTGTTGGAAAATACAAAAATATCCTTTAATATCAAGTTTATTTTATTTTTATTTTTATTTTTATTTTTATTATTTCTTCCAATAGTATTCTGATCGTTTTATTATATAATTAAAATAAAAAAATATTTATTTATTCCTAGTTAAATTAGAAATGACAAATAAACTATAACCTTGGAAGCCTGTACATATGTTTTTAGGTAGAAAAGCAAAATTATTACATTGTTTCAGCAAGTAAAGTCAATGGGTGCGAAGCTACATTAATTTTCCAAAACCAATTAGATTGATTTTGTTAATAGTACAAGTTAGATTGTAAATAATAATAAAAAAAAAATTGCGAGAAATTCTACAAAATACATTGAGATAAATTCATTCCTCATCCTTGCATGAAACTACAAAGAATTGATATAATTATTTTTATGTAGTTTATGGATAGCTACATTATAGAAATGATCCTCACTTTCATTAATCCGGGGCACTTCTATTTGTTAAGTACAGCAATTCATATTTCAGGCATCAAATTAACAATGGTTGCTAAAAAACAAAAAAACCTCCAGTTCCAAGAGAAAAGAAAGAAATTCATCTCCATGCTAAACCTGAATTAATGAGGGGCATCTATCAGCAAACTGCCAGGGAAAATCTCCCCTAACCATCACACTAGACACCGCAAATCGAAGCGAAAGGTGCAGAGCTAGAATTGCTCAAAGATTGTAATACAATGTTGCAATATAACCCTTCAAAGCAAGGGATCAGCATATGAGAACTATTGGGAAATTAGTGAACCTTGAGAAACAAGACAGGGAGAGAGCCTAGCTCGACCAATGCAGAATTTCTACTGAATGGTGCACCGTAAAACAATAGCTATGCTTATAAACCAAAAAACAGGGAGAAAGATGAGAGAGAGGGTTTGAGAAAGGAGAGATGTAGGCTGATATTTCACTGCAAGTACATTATCTTAAGCTCATCTCCTGGCAGGGTTTGGAGCTCTAGCCGATGCCTCATACACACTACCAGAACGAGTTGGTGGCGTTGCAGACCCAAAAGGCATATTGTTTCCAGCTGCCACTTGCCCATGTGGCCCAGCAACACCTCTAGCTGGTGCTTCGTACCCACTTCCAGAATGAGTTGGTGGAGTAGCAGACCCGTATGGCATATTGTTTGCAAGTGGTGCCACATGCCCTTGTGGCCCAGCGGCACCCCTGGATGCATGATAATTAGGCAGTCTCTGCGCATCATAACCTTGTCCTCTTTGTGCATCATATGCATGTCCTCTCTGAATGTCATAAACAGCAAGTCTCTGTGGATCATAACCAGGTACTCTATGAGCATCATATCCAGGCCCTCTCTGAGCATCATATCCGTGTCCCCTTTGCATATCATAGCCAGGCAATCTTGATGCATCATAACCAGGTACTTTTGGTGGCTCATAGGCAGGGCCTCTTGGTGCCTCATAACCAGGTTTTGAGGGCGCAGCACCAGATTGAGCCCCAGAATAAGGAGTAGCAGTACCAGCACTAGCATTACCAACAGCACCAATATTTGCAGCACCAGAGTTATGAAGAGCAGGATGTCCCTGTTACATAAACCACAATTCTATCATTTCATTTTTATTTCCAGAAGCTGACAGAAAATTGAGCCGTCAAAGGAAACAACAAAGACAACAGCAATGAAGACTCCCATGCCCTACAGAGTTGGCCCTGATCAATTGTTTGAGCCTTGTAATAGCATATGGCTGGTTTTGCCCCATCAACAGCCTTTTGTGTTGATTTTACATGGCAAAATCTGTTTTGCAAACATAGTTAGATATAGCAAGCGTTATGCGGGACCCAAAATGTATTTTGGTTTCTTCAGGCTTGCTTTTGGTCAACCGATTGTAAGTTTACAATTCACTTATGACAAGCAGTTATATTTCTTTATTTTCCATCTGTCCCAAAAACAGGCTTTAATTGGGAACCACTCCGGAGCCAATTTTGTACCAACTAATTCCTACCGTATAATAGCCATCTGCAAACATTAGCTACATTACCAGCTTCGCTAAATAGATGACCTGAAAGAGACTACTAGAGGGTCTAAATTATAAAAACTTCGATTCTTTGGCAGTCAAGTCTGAAGTAGCAGTAACCAAAGAAAATTAACCATCTGATACCATAACTCCAATTACAATCATAACTTCAATTACAAATATATTTGGCCAGAACTTAAAATGAGTCACACCACAAAGAACACTTTGGAAACCAGTTTTTGATTTTTATGATCACCAAATATCTGCCTTGTTTCTAGTTATAAGCTCTTACTCATTCATACTTGAGATAATTACTTTGCCTCAAATACCTAGGAAAATCTTCAAAGAAACAGTCAAAAGAATATCGAGATATTCTCTCAGGAATAGTTGCCTATTTTTATTTTGCTGTATTGTTTCTTTCCTGATAAATTCAATTTCAGAAGCAATCAAGTTCCTGACATCCAGAAACCACCTCCATGTTTTATCATCATTGCAGAAGTAGTTTACACGTGTTTCTCTAGTTTGGTATCATTCCCTCAC